TCTCCATCTGCTTCAGAATCATCTCTTCTGGTGCCAGCACATTTCTTCTACACAATGGTCCCTCCCAAGGCTGTCCTCTCAAGTGCCAAGTTGAGGGAAGTGACTCCGGGCTGTTCTCTGGCAAGGGTTCCCATAACAAGACTCAAACAACAAGCTCCATAGAAACTCATATGGAGGACCCATCCAGCAAGAGCAAAGACAAGTATGTAAGTGAATCAGGTGTGCCTCTGGAATTAATACCAGAGAATGTAAGGATATCAGTAGTGGGGCATAGCTCGCTATGGGCAAGATAAACAAAGAAGGCCTGTTTACAGCTGAGACCAGATAGGCCCTGTTGGTTTATGACATGGTTGTCTTACTGTTTGAGTCTTTGCATGTCACTTATCTTTAAAATGCTACATTTACTTTTCCTTTACGTTTGAAGTTTTACATTGCTTCAAGTTAGATTTTAGCCGAAGAGCGGTAGATTGCATGATGTCTGAATCACAGAATCTGCATGGCAGGCCCAAGGGGGTCTCTGAGTATCATGGATAATTTCTGCTGTCACTTTTGGAGAGGGAAATGGATGATGTGAAAAGCACTGTGTGGATGTGGGAGGGGAGGTGGGCGGTGGGATCTATGCCCATCGTTCCGGTCCATCTGTGAAGACCGTTATGTTACTAAGGACAGGTAAGCAGAGGGTTGAGAGTGATTGACAAGTTGGAAATAACCCGCTTGCACAGGGTTTTAATGGACGGTTTCCTTTGTTGTCTCACAGTAGGCTTCACGGCGATAGTCCATGAAAGCACCAATCTTCCGGGGCCTGAGTCATGATCCTTCCTTGGTTCCATTCAGCTGCACTCCTCCTCAGGGAGGGGAAGGAGGGAGTTAGGGAAGAAAGGGGGTGGGAGCATCGAAGAAGAAAAACCTTGCTGACCAGCAAGCCAGTTTGCCCTTTCTTTTCCTCTCTACGCTCTTAATTACGATATAAATTTCAGTGCCTCACAGCATGTAACATCCTCTGAAATACTTACAATCATGTCTTGACCTGAATGCACACTCCCGGGGTAGGGAAGCAATCAGTGCTGCTCATACATTCAGATAGAAGGAGCCCTGCTGGCTTCCAAGTCTCAGGCACAGTTGAAGGGGCTGGACCCTCCGGATGCTGACAGTATGAGGGAGGGTGTGGCTCAGTCCTCACTCAAGCCCCCTTCCCCCCACCAGCTGTGATCCTGGTGACAGTGAGTGGGTGGATTCTCTTGTCTTATTTTTAATCTGGAATTTGGTAATTACTTCAGAATAAGCATCAGCACAAAGGCTTTAAGAATCTCAGAACAGAGGAAGAGAATAAAAGAATGTAAATGTGGAGACTATATGTATCTCTCTCAACTTCAACATATAATTAATGTGTGTGTGCGTGCGCATGTGTGGGTAATGATCTCCACCGAAGCACCAAACACCCATGATGGGTTCATTATGGAACTTGCTTCTTTCTCCGTGAATAAACATTTCCCTTTTCAGTTCTACAATCCATGAGATGTTAGAGAACACAGCTAAAGAGGACAATATGATTCATACAAAAGTACACTTGAATATTTCTATCTGTGACCTCCACAGCTACAAGTTCAACTAACCATAGGCTAAAAATAGTTTGAAAATAAATTTTCTGTACAGAACATAGACAGACATTACCATCAGTCTTCTAGTAACACAGTAGGTTATATATCATTTCCATTGTTTTAATATAAAAATATCTATATAGTAATTAATATATTATATATTATAATGTAAGACTATATAATGTTGTAATATTATTGTATTACCATACTATACAAGTAATCTAGAGTTGGCCACAGGAAAATAAGAGCATGCTGTAGGTCATGTATACACCCTATGTCATGTTATGTAACGGACTTGACCATCTTTGGATCTTGCTATCTTTGGAGACTCAAAGATGGTTGTAAAGTAGTACATTTAATTTCTAACACTCATACAAATCCCAAATGCTCTGCCTAAGTTGCTTTATCATTTATATTTGACCTAGTTTTTTTGAAACTACTCTATTCATTGTTTAAAGATTTAAAGAAGAAATAATGCATATTTTAGAAATTCAAAATATTCAAATAATAGATCAAGGAAACATTTTTTGTGTTGTAAGGAAGCATAGGCTCAAATGTATCATGGAATAATAACGATATTGAAAAACAGAAAGGCTGAATAGATGTTCATTCAGGGAGAAATAACTTACAACAGAGACAGATAAATGCCAGCAGGTTCCCGTCCCAAGGATGCATCCGGATGCTTTCTGTCTCCATCCAGCAAGCCAAAGAGCACTCTAGGATCCCTTAACTCAGACCTAGTTTCCCCAGGTCATGTCCTCACCTGTCCCCGCCCCAATGGGTGTGGTCAGTGCAATGAGTGCAGACAGAGTGAATATCTCACTGCACAAATGACAAGATATTTCTGGACCGTCCATATCAAGTTCTCTGTTCTAGATGGAATGCAGACTAGGAAACATCCCTGAGTTGTCCATTCTGGACAAAGTACCTGAACAAGATCTGAATAGACATATGAAATCTAAAGATATAATGGTGTTCTATTGAAACCTTAGGGGATAAAATATGGTAGTGAGACTCTTGAGGATTAAGAAAGAGTGAGTCTCTTACATTTTTGGTTGTGAGCCTAGCCTTTAATGGCTGTGTGTAGCTGGGTCTATCTCAGGGTACCCTGACTGCAGGACCACTATCTATCCCTGGTGCATGAGCTAGTTTGTTGGAGCCCATTCCCTAGGGTGGGATGCTATGCCCAGCCTTAATGCAGGGGGAGGAGCTTTGTCCTGCCTCAACTTAATGTCCCAAGCTTTGCTGATCTCTGGTGGGAGGGGTGGATGGGGTATGGGCTAAATGGGAGGGGGGACAGGTGGTAGGAAAAACTGTGGTTGGAATGCAATATTAAATTTAAAAAATAAACAACAGCAACAACTAACCCCACAAAGGACACAGGGCAGGGAAAAAGAAAAGAAACGAAAGAGTAAATCTCTTGAGAGATTTTGCTGAGAAGAAAATAGAGGCCATTTCCTATGATATAATCCCTGGAGCTGCTTTGAGCTACTAGATCTGCAGGATTGTGATGTGTGCCCTATTCTTTCCAAGACAAGTTTGTGAGCCTTCCTGGGTGTCTATAAGCATAAGCTGAGATAACTTGAGGTCTTCTGAACTCTGCAACCAAGGGGTCATAAGGTTTACTTATGCTATAGAGCTAGTGACTAGCTATAGTCAATAATCAATATTTGTGATTTCTCTCTCTGTCTCTGTCTCTCTCTTCTTCTGTGTGTGTGTGTGTGTGTGTGTGTGTGTGTGTGTGTGTGTGTGTATTTAATTGAGAGGTTATTTAGTTTACTTGCTGCTGTTTTGAGGTAGGGTCTTTCACTGTAGCCCAGGCTCATCCATTACTAACTATGAAATCCAAGCTAACTTTGAATTCATGGCAGTCATCCTGCCTCAGCCTCCTGAGCTGAAATATAATATATATATATATATATATATATATATATATATATATATATATATTTGAGACAGGGTTTCTCTGTGTAGCTTTAGAGCCTGTTCTGCAACTAGCTCTTGTAGACCAGGCTGGTCTCACACTCATAGAGATAAGCCTGCCTCTGTCTCCTGAATGCTGGAATTACAGGCATGCACCACCATCTCCCAGCTTGCTAAGGATATTTTTGTAAAGAGTGGAAAAAACAAACAAGCAACTCCCGACCAATCTTACCTAATGAATCTCTAATGGTAGATATAAAAAATAATAAACAGGTACCAGAAAAGCACATTCCTCATCTTAGCAGGGACTCTACCTAGCGTTACTTAGTAATATCATCTAGTTTACAGGACTGACTCCTGGAAAGACTGTGGAATGGAACGATCCCACCTAAGCTCTTCTTGCTTCTGTGGGTGGCAGGGAAGACCGTTAATCCTCAGCTTCTCTGTCTTCTCCTTTAAATGTTTATTGTCAGCAGTATAAGGACCCTCCTGGCCTACCATTCTTTGACCCTGTCATTGACCTTAAATTTCACAGCTAGTCAAGCTGCCTGCCTACTGAAATCCATGAGAAAAAAAGTTCCTGGTGTGAGTGAGCTCTCCTGGTTGAAGCCTCACCAAACCCCTGCAATGAGATGTTCTTTATTGTACATGATTTATGGAAATGGGGGAGGAAGTTCAAACCCAGGAAGGGTTTTAATTTATGTGATGTTTCTTGCCAAAGCACATGTACTAGTGAAAATAATGCAATCTGTGTTGAAAATATTAATGAATGAGTGAGTCAAGTAGGAGTCACGCTGGCGAGTGACCAGCAAGAAGGAGTTCTACCTGCTTTCCTTAGGCTGTGTACAGGCATAACTCAGTCGATGTTCATTGAATATTTGAAATAGTCAGAGAATTAAACTCTCCATTCAAAAAGAAAATCTCTGTACGGTGTTCCATTATAAAAAAAAAAATCACTGTCCTTTGCTCAGAGCCTTGGCGTCTATCTGATATTCTCTGCATTCTAGTGAGACTCTTACTTTGAAGTACCTCAGTGTTTCCCAGACTTGCTTAATGAAAAATAGATTAAAGTTAGATGACAGTCACAGGCCTCTGACTAAATATCTCAATATTTATATTGTCTTGTAGATGAAAGTAGCAGGCCTGTTTCTCTTCACAAAACTCTCTCTCCAAATTGTTTTTCTGGACAGAGTTCAAGTAGAACAACCAATTTATTTATGCCAGCCCTTGCTCTTTGCAGTGACCTCTTATTGAGCAATCTGCTAGACAAAGAAGGTGGTTAGCGACCAGCGCTCCTGTGGAGTCGCCAGCTAAGGCCTTCTGCTTATAGACATGCACACTTCTCTGTTTCTGTTCTTTGAAAATGAGGGCACAGATGTTTCTAGATTTGTCAGCTTCATATCAATGACTAGTTAACCTGAGACCACCTCAATTGTGGAACATATGTCAACACTCATGCACATTTGCAGCCCCTCTTACTTGGTAAAATGACTCGTGGCTTCCAGGTCTGTGTCTTGTGGGCGGAGATTGTTATAGACGTATTTCAGGTCTTCGGTTCCGCTTAGCTCAGGCAGTCCTGCATGCAACATCTTGGTATCGGCAAAACCCAAAACAGAGACGGAAAGAATAAATGCAGACAGAGTCAAGCTTCCATGGCTCACTCTGGTGATAGACATGCAAGCATTTATGTTTGTTTTAATGTGCACTTCATTTCATCTGCGTGAATTGACATACTTTCATGTTTTTAAATGTCTGGTAGTTATGGGGATAAACAACAGCTCTAACATAAAGCAACATTGCAATTGGTGAAGTGTTTGCACAGTGGCGATTCCATTGGGTTCCTATCATAAAGCAATGAAGAAAGTATGATCACATGATTGTTCCTGTCAGAATTTTGGTAGCCACTGTTTAAAACCTGCATGATTTTGAGAAAGTTCATTGACTCTCTTAAGCCATCATTTTTCTCACATCTTAAGGAACATAACACTACCTGACATATTCTTGGAGAATCAAAATCTTCTCCATCATATGGTGGTTCACAAAACACATAGGCTTAGCTGCAGAAGATGTGGGTACTATATCCAGGTCAAAGGTGCCGGGACACAGTATGAAAGTCAACCCTCAGACTCTCTCTATACGAACAATTTCCTCTGCATAAGTGGCAAGTATATTCATTAAATACTGGTAAAGCAAGGGAATAATTAGGGGTAGACCTGTGTGTTTTACTCATCTCTAAGAAGATATTTTGTTTACCATGTACTGTGTGGATATTTTATTCTTTTTTACTTGTAGATAATTTTTTTGAGGAAAAACTTTTTGCATTATTATTATTTTTCTAAGAAGTAGAAGAAAATGAGGAAGATGGTAGAAAGATGGAGGATGAAGAGATATTATCAATACTTCTATGACTAATATGATAAATGTTCTGTCCTAGAATAGAGAAATTCATTAAATGAGAAGTTAGTCCTATTGATAAAGGATGAAATGTGTATATTGTGATGGATGAAGTCATAGATGATTCCTATGGGAAAAACAGAGATTCTTGCCATTGTCCCCAGTGAGTCTTAGAGATACATGCATGGAAGAGACCATGATGTTCTTGGTGTGATCACAGAGAGAATCCCAGCAATACTTCTGGAACGCAGACTATCATGTGCCTGAATGTCAAGCAACAGCTCCGGAAAGAGACAGGGTAAGAAATTTCAGCAATATTAAAGCTTTAAAACAAATGTTCCAAAATCAAGAGCATGCTAGTAGCATGTACAAGAACTGACTGTGATAGAATGGTCACCATGGTTGAAGTTAAAGATTAGTCACAGGAGGCCAAAGAAGAGGCTGGACTAGGAATTGGTTTGCAATGGAGACATTATTGGGTTTAAATATACATAGGTGGTGCTGAAGAGACTGCTCCACAATTAAGAGCTTCTGCTGTTCTTGCAGATGACCTGAGGTCAGTTACTAACAGTAACACAACATCCTGTTACCCAGCTCTAGGGGATCCAAAGCCTCTGGCCTCTGAATGTTCTCTACCCACCCCCATCCCACTCCATTTTATAACACACACACATACACACATATGTATGTATGTATGTATGTATGATGTATATGGGAAATGCATGTATATATACATACATACAAACATATATGTACATACATGGAATATATAGAGAAATTAGAAATGATTGGATACATTGAGGGATGAAACAGTTCAAAGTCACAGCTGCAGACGTTGCCGAGGAGTCATTAGCACACAAATGATAACTGAAACTGAGGGAACGCTGCAATCCTAGAGATGAGTCACTCACCTGTCCTCATGAGTTATCTCTGGCATCTTGACTTTACCATGTCTAAGCATGAATAATTGTGGACCGGTGAGATGATTCATTAGGTAAAGGTGCTTGCTGCCAAGCCTGACCACATGAGTTAAAAAATGCGCAAATTCTCTTCAGCTGTCTATTTTCCTATTTCCCAACTCTTACCTCCACGTACCGTGTACACAACCAGCAAGAGACCCACATTCCATTCCCTCTTTTTCCTGATTCTCATCTCCAGTTCCTTTGTAAGTGTTCAGCAGCATCCCTTCCCCAGCTCTCACTGAGGCCATCATCACAGCAATTCACAATGTTACAATGTCTACATGTTTCCAATAGCTTTTCTTTTATCACAGTAATTCATAACCTTACCATGTCTACATGTTTCCAGTAGCTTTTCTTTATACCTGATGATGTGAGGAAGTGACTCTCATAACTTCTGGTTGTCAGCCCAAAATGATGGTACTCTTCACTACAAATACTTCCCTGTTCCTCATCTGTCTATGCACTTAAAATGGGACCTGCATGTTGGTCATTACTCTTTCGTTATATGAGACGTGGCATTTCTCTCTTATCATCCACAGAAGTCTCCATCTTTGTCACAGACTAGAGAACAATGGGCAGCATCCATTTCCAAAGCCATGCTCACTCTTTAGTCAAATATATATATATATATATATATATATATATATATATATATATATCATCGTATGGGTGCTTCTTCTCTTAATCTTTCTCCTAATTTAATATTATTTTTCCCAGATGTTCTTGGAGACCCAATAATTAATTACTCTCCAGCAAATCCACTCAATACTCTTGTATACATTATATCTGAATGATATTTCTTGTTTGCCTATGACCTATTATATATATATATATATATATATATATATATATATATATATATGGAAAAACGGACTCACAGATACAGGACAAGGTATAACAAGTTTCCAAGTCCTTCCTTTCTACCCAAGGGAGCTGGCTACCTGACCCAGTCTTCACAACCCAAGAGATTGCATGACCTCTGTCTCTCCATTTAAGAGATTACCCTAAGGCTGGTACCTCAAAGCTATTGGCAGAATGAATTCCCACAACATACATATATGTATGTATGCATGCATAATTATCTTTTTCTCTGGCTAGGAATGCCCTCACTCTTTCTCTCTTATCGATTAGAAACCTTTGTCTTGCTTTAACCTCTTTTAAAGTCCTATCTTCCAGTGCTAGTCACGTTTTGTCCATGTCAGATTAGAATTTATTTGAGAAGAGAAAGTGGACCTTTACTCAGTGTTGAGATTGTTTATGTTGTCTAGCATGGCGCTTTGCAAGTAATTGGAATCTAATGAATATCTGATAGATAATGACTGCATGGATGGATGAGTAAATGATTAGAAAAGCACCGAGTCTTATTAGGCTTTAAAACTCCACTACTTGCAAATTTAATATTGACTACTAGATACAAAAATCTGCCCTAGAGAAACACATTTCGCCTGGCAAGTAGAATCTAGATTAGTTTCTAATTTTATCTCTAGTACTGGGAGTTCCAGAGACATCTATGGACTACTAACTGAGTGTGACTCTCTTTAGCGATTGCATGGTCATCCACTTGCTAAGACCAGATTCTGTGGAGTCTGACTTTCATTCCACTTTCTTTGAATTTACAACAGTTTGGTCAGGACTCTGACAAATACTTTCTACAGGAGTACATAGTAAACTTTGTAGTGAGGTAGTCCTTCTGTAGCACTGACCACGCCCATTGGGGGGTGGAGCTATGGGCGGAGGTGACCTGAGGAAGGAGGTCGGAGGGGGCGAGGAAGGCGCTCTCTTTCTGGCGTGACTCGGACAGGAGAGGATCGGGTTGAATTTCCTGGTGTTCATCTGTCTAGGTTGTAAGTTATTTCTCCCTGAATAAACATCTATTCGGCCTATTTGTTTATCCTGACCCTTATTTACCGCAATATCTGGTGTCAGAAGCGGAATTTACCTGGGTTTTGCCCCCAGGCGGCAGAAGCCGCCCCCCTCCCCCCACCTTCCCCAACGGGCAGGGTTTAACCAGGTGGACTCACCACAGCTTTGGGACATTTGCCTCTTCCTTACTGCAAAGGAGATCTTTGCCGCTAAAGCAGACCTGAGAAGGCACTTACCGCTTAACATTTTTTGCCCATTTCCGCACGGGACTTTGCATTCGCGCAGAGCCTCTCGGCGGCACCCGCCCGGCGGCACCCGCCTGGCGGCACCCGCCCGGCGGCACCCGCCCGGCGGCACCCGCCCGGCTTGCACGCGTTTCGTCTTGTGTTACAAGTAACTCCAAAAGTCCCCTTTTAACAAAATTCTGCTTGCCATAGTTTGTTAAGAACTTTTTACAGGAACCGGGATCAGACGAGCCTGGGCGGCTAGGCGCTATTTGATGACACACCTCCAGGCGTAGCTACCACAAGCGGAGATATACAACTAAAAGCATCAAAGTTCCAGGACAGCAGAATTACACCTAAGGTAATTGTAACATCCTTTGCAATTTAAGCTGATATAAAATCTGAGATAAATTGTTCTATAACTATGGCAGATAATTTTACTATGCAGAACTTTAGGAATTATTTTACTTCATATGTAGAAGGGATTTTAGCAGAAGAAACTTATGACTGGACCAATATATACTTTTATTTTGTAATAGCAATGGGTTTCATCATTAACATGATATTCTTAAAGAAATGGTTTGAGATTACAGCAAACAATAAGGAACTTGTACAAACCATGGGAGACTTAGTAACAAAGATTCGAAACATTGAAAATGATAGAATTCAAAGCATAGAGACAAGGATTCAAAACATTGAAAATGATGGAATTCAAAGCATAGAGACAAAGATTCGAAACATTGAAAATGATAGAATTCAAAGCATAGAAAATATAGAAAGAAAGATTCAGAATATTGAAGATGGCGTTGGCGAGCTGAAAGGTATAATTTGTTTAATGTCAGATACTTCAATAACCAGAACAGAAACAATGCAATGCATTAACAAACTAGCAGAAACAGCCCACTCCTGGTCGGAGGAAGCTACTAATAAGTTTAAAAAACTGGAACATCAGATAGAAAGACTAGATGACAGAATCTCTTCCATGTCTGAGGATAATGACAAGCTAGCAGATAGAACATTGTTTCTGGAAGGCAGTTTACACGCCATTCAGATAATATCTAAGGATGATAAGATTAAAAACATGGAATCATTTGTAGTTGGAGAAAGTAAGAAACTGACTGATACAATGAAGTCTCTAGAAAGTTA